AATGAATTACCAATACTTGTCATTGAATGTCCATAAATATGATCAAATGTATGATACAATAAGTCATGTTTTGTCCAATAAACATTATTGAAATCTAGTTCTTATGATTCAGTTTTATTTATTAAAACAACCATAATATTATTTTTCTTTCCAAATGAATTATCTATGGTTGGTTAGCAACTATCATGAAAGTATTGACTTCCTCTTTTAAATATGAATTCATAACGTCCTTCTTGTAAATCTATATATGTATAATATTCATCGCATAGTTTGAATTAGTTATATCGCTTTTATAATTTGATTGGTTAACTCCAATTATCCCATGATCCAATCACTTCATCAGCTATCTCAAATAGTCTTATCAAAGGTTTTGCATTTGATTCAAAGATCTGATAAGCTCTTTTAGGAAGTACTTAAATCTGTAATCATTATAACTTTTACTATATTATTATATGATCCATGATTGTCATGCACAATCTCTTGAGTTTACAAATATTTCCATTAATTATCTACTAAGAACTTATACTCATATTGTCCAACAGCCAAATTTAAAGTGCATTTATTTCCAATTAATTTGGTCCCAACTTAGAAGAGATTCCATGATCCAAATAATAATACCTCTTTACCTTCATAAGGCCTATTGAATATTAACAATAATACCAAATAAATTTCACTGGTTGAGCAGCACAAGGTTATCTAGGATGTATATTTCCACAATCTTAGCATCGATTCATATTAATATTCATTAAATTATATAAATATATAAAATCAAATGGACTGCCAAAAATGTTATCTTAATTTCAAATTATTCAATTATATTTAGGCTAATCTATTTATCATCAAAAGATATAATTGATATCTTTCCTTAAAATAACTAAAAATATTAATAATCTAATTTTACTTATCAATAAAATAATTAGCATATGATTTTATTAAGATGCTCCAAATAGATGAAATAGACTAAAATTAAGTTTTTATAATGGTTAATTCTTCTTACTTAAGTTTTTAACTCATAATTTTCTATTCTAATTTATTTTTCTATTATTCTAGATCTTTGATATAATTCATGCATTAAGACATAGCATTAGCTTCTCTCTATTCTGTTACAAAATAATCATAAACATCATTCATTGTATCAATTTACATTTATAAACCTCTATCAATAGAATTTGATTTTCTTCTTTAAATAAATTCCTCTGACTATAAATTAAGATGAATTAAATGCAATTCAGGTAGAATATATTTAGAAAGGTAATTTACATTCTTAGAATGTTATTCAAATAACTTTTTAATATCTTAAAAATCTCCAATCTTTAATTATTCTAATTTTGACATCAAAATTGAAAAATCATTACATTTTTATCTCTACTATTCATTAACTGATTCTTTTGTTTCAAATTCTTCAAAACTTTATTTATATCTTAAATCAATCTAATCAATGCTTGTTTATTGAGTCATCTCCTTTAATTTATTTTGTACATATTCCATCTCTTAATTGCTATCTTTATTTGTTTTTGTTATAAAAACATTAAATTCTATTGATTATGCAAAATAAGTTATCTTAGATAATTTCATCAAAAAGTATTCAATAGCCTTCCTAATGTTCTCTATATGCTCATTTGAGTAATCCTCAAAAGTTGATTTATTCATCAATGGTGGAATATATACTCCAGGCCTAAACTTATATTATTCTGCTTATTATACCATCTCAACTGCAATATTTATCGTAATTATAATACATCCTAAAACCTTCTTATTACTTCTTGTTCTGTATTATCTACTATACGAAATTAGACAAATTTATTAGTTAGTCCTTATTATATAATTTATGGATCACATACTCTATATTATTTACCTATATATTCAAACTTGGTGTTTTATTAATTTCCTTCATTTTAAGATAAATATAATTGATATAATTATGATTAATATTAAGCTTATTGTTCAACTATTGGAATTATTTACCATTCTAAAAATTATAATTATTATTTATATCCTCCTGCTATTGCTCCTAATTGATAATTTTATTCCATTTTAAATTCCTTCTTTTCTCCATCCTTTTATCCAATCTAAATTTATTGTTTGTTTGTCTATATTTCCAATCGATTTATGCCAATCTCATTTTAATACCATGTTAATGATATAATATATTCACTATTATCCATAACTAATTTTTGTTCATTTACACCAAACATTTTTGATGATCTATAATCAAAATATAAATATACTTATGCTCTTTGCATTTTATGACTGATTGAGAACTAAATGAATAATAATAATTTTGTATTCCCAAAATACCTTAATTTGTATAAAAGATCTTAATAGTATGAATCTTATAAGGTATCAATGTTTATAAATCAATTGAATCATCAAAATATTTAAGATCTCCCTATTTGATTCCAAGAATAATTGATTCCATAAAAATTTAATTAATGTTAATTTTAATGTAGTTAATTAATCAATTTTTTAGATATAGAAGATCATTTTCAGTTTAACTATTAAGATAAAAATTAAATTATTTAAATCTGAAATCAATTATCCATAACTTCTTAGTATATTAATTTCTTATACAATAAATATACTATAAAAAATAATTAAATATATATATTCTTAAGCTATTTTATTAATTGCTAAATATCATGGCAACTTTTTTAAGAAATTAGCTTTAGGTACTTCTAAAGGATGTTAATTATATCTAATTTTAGGTTATTCATATTCCTATTATTATTATTAAATTTTTGGAGAGGTTGGTTACTATTATTATTATAAAGTTGGGGATTTCTATGATGTCTTTTATTATTATGAAGTTTATGAAGTTATAGTTATTGGTTATTATTATACATTGATTGTTTATTATTATGTAATATTTTATGGAACTTAAGATTAAATTACTTCTTTAGGAACAGTATCAGAACCAAAATAAACTTAATTACTACTAGGTTTTTACACATGAGTATTTGGATTAGTAGAAAGTGGATTTTTCTTATCAAATAAAACCACTTTGTTTTAAACAATATTTCCTTATTAATTCTAATTTGTTTATGGTTAATGATATAATGATTGTAGAACTGATAAAGAATTTACTTTTTGATTTGGTTCAATTTTACCATCATTTTCAGCAAATTTAATCAATTCTTACGTCTATAAATCATATAGCTAAAATACTCTTGCATACTTCACTAATACATTTTTTATCTCTTATTTATCTACTCTAAATTATTAAATAATTATTTCTACTTAAAATTAATCATATTGAGGGTTAATGTCAATAAATTAGAGTATATAACATTTTTATCCTTTAATATTTACTCATTTTAAAATTGAACATTATCTTTCATTGTAGCAGATTTATCTATTTCTGTCTCTATTGTTGTATATATTAAGCCTTCCCATAAATCAATTTGTTTCCAAATTTACATTGATATTAAACTATCCTATAAGAAAAATCTTTTCTCATGTTCATCTATTGTATAAATAGTTGAAATCATAGTAATAATTCTTTTAACTAAAATTAATTCTCCCTCTTTTTAAGATATCTCTAATAGTTTCTGGGTAAATATATGCATATTTTTGAATCCATATGAACTTAAATTTGAACAACTAATGAATATATCTTAAGTATACCCTGCCTGTCGGAATGATTCAAGTATGATGCATCCTAATTCTCTAAAAAATTTTTAATCAAATATTTCATCTAAATTTGTTTTTTGTAATTCAGGTATATTCTTCCAACCTTTGATTTATTATTCTTAAGTTGATTATATCACATATTTAATGAAACTATAAATTTTAATAAGTTATTATTCACCATATTGACCTTTATATTTATTTACCATTTATTAAATCCCAGCTGGTTATTCATCAGCATTTTTCGGTTTATTTTTATTATTGATTTTTCCAATCAATTTAATTGTTACTACTTTTAAATCCTCTATAAATTCAGGATTGACAAGAAACAGATCAAAAGAATCTAAATTTTCAACTTATATAGAGGATTATATAGTTTCTCTTTTAATGTTCAATTTATGATTTAGTGAGATTTAATCTGCAATATTCCTTAAAAATGAAGAATTTAATTGAGAACTAACTTTTATATAATTTTCTTTAGAAATTCCTATCTAACTTGAAGGTCCTGGAGTAATTGGATCATTTTAAGGATCTTAATATATTTCAGCCTATTTAAAGAACTATTCACTATCATATTATAGATTTCTAGTTTTTGATATCTCATAAACTAAAATCTTCATTACAATATCCTAATTCAATATATTTATACTTTAGCAATTGCAAAAATCTAGTTATATTAAGTAGTTAACTATTAAATCCCATTCTATAAAGAAGTACAATATGATTGAATAGCTTGATTATAAATTGAAGCTGCTAATCTCAAAGCAGATTCATTCTCTTATTTATATTATAATTGTGAATTTAATTTATGTTATGCTTTTGATCTCTACTCCATATTGCATTCTTTATTCCAACAAAATGCTTCTAATGTAATAGCAGATTCTTCATATTCCTTTGATGCTCTCAATGTCTTTTCTTTCTATCGATCATACTTATCACATGTAATTTTGATTTCTTTATCCATTTTTAATACATCTTGAATTAAAGGTTTGAATTAACTCTGGATTTATCGTAGCTCATTGATCGCTTACTCTACATCATGCTTGTACGATTAATTGAATTGCTTAGTTACAAATACCCACATACCTTATAGTATTGGGCCCTTTAATTTAGATCTATTTTCACTCCTTTCACTAAATCATCAATATCTCCTCCTCCATTTTACATTTAACCACTTATTTTCTCTAATGCTTTGTGATACTTCTCTTCAGCTTCTGATCTCTCAAAAAGTTATCCCAACATTACTTCTGTTACTTTACTTCTGTCACTTACTCTTCGATATAGAACATCGAAATTTGTAGCTAATTATTTAATATTCATTATTATTTATATGTTATTCCATTAAAATTAATTAAATATATCAAATAAATTTAATGTATTATTAAGAAAATTTGAGAAAAGCTCGTGAGTACCTTAATAAAAGATAAAAATAAATTGATCATTTGACTCGTAAACCCATATAGGCTTAAGGTGTTAACATAAGACAAATATTTGCTATTTTAAGATCCAAAGATAGAAATGAAAAAAGTGAGAGTAGATAATTGAAAACAATATATTAAGACAAAAAAGAAGATAATATTGGAGTGCCATTAATTGTGATCACATCTTAAAATCCAGACTAAAGAGACTCTAATCATTCTATTACAGCTAAACTTATTAGGCTTAATAAAATAACTAGAAATAAAACTGAAATTACTCCCACCTAATATAATTTTATAGATAGAATTGTTGAACCAACAATAAAAAAGCCTGAAATTCATTCAGAATAAATTTCACCATTAAGAATGCGTAAAAATGCACCTAGTAATTTAACCGACAGGAGATAATTGATACTAAAAAATAAAGAAACTATTCATCAAAAAGGTTATCATGTTCAAAATTAAAAATCCTAAGGTTGTATAATAACACATTAATTTATTCATTCAGAGCAAACTAGTCCTAGTTTTAGAAGATTAAATTAAACTTCTTATTAATGCGATAAAACTAAGATTTTCAACAAAATTAAAAATTAACCTTTAGAAAATGAAATCAAATTAATTAGATAAATTAGTGGTTGGACTATTTAAAGTTAAGAAAGCATTCAAACACCTAAATGAAATAATTTGTAATATATTTTCTCTATCTTTAATTTGAATAATTTTTTTTTATAATATTTCTATTGGTATAAATAGGATTAATAGATTTTAATTTTTAATTATATATGTGTGGATCAAATGATTATGGTTAATTGGGTTTGAATTGTTATGAAAGTGTAAGTGAATTAATTGATATATTTTAGTTTGTTCCTTAATAAGTGTTATGTTTAGACAAATATGATAAAGTTAAATGTTGTATAACTCATACATTAGTATTAAATAATGGATAAGTTTATTCTTTTGGATCTAATAAAAATGGAGAATTAGGAAATGGCAAATAATCAATTTCATATAATTAATTAAAACCATTGAAGATATAAAATGTAAATAAGATATATGCATCAAATTTTTCAGCAGCTATTACTTCTAAAAATGAATTATATTTATGGGGAGTATTTAATTAAAAAATAAATTAGTCTGGAATATTTGGAGAATTTCTTACACCTACTAAAATTGATTTTCCATAATAAATTAAAAAAATTAAACTTGGAAATGGATTTGGTTGCATTTTAGATGAAGATGGGTAAATTTATTCTTGGGGTAAAAATTCTTCAGGGGAATTAGCTTAAAAAGATTACATTCCTAGAAATGATATTTAACATATAAAATAGTTAAAAAGTAAATAAATTAAAACATTTGATTGTGGTTCTAATTTTGTTGTATGTATTAGTTAAATTTAAGAAATATCCATAAATTATGATTAGATTATCAAAGAAAATGATCAACTTAAATAAAAATTATTATAAATGGAAACTATTTTTAAAAATTAAAAAATCAAATCTTAAGCTGATTTATAATATACAATGTAATAAGAATGTAAAAGCTTTGATTTAGGAATTATTTAAGATTAATTAGAATAAAAATAAAAAATTATATAAGAATAAGAAAAAATAATATAAAGTTAAAAGGATAGAATAATATATTTAGAATCTCAACTTTATTATCATCAAAATAAAGAGAATATTAATCAAAATTCAGTTGCATATGCATTTAAAAAAGATGTAAAAAATTAAAATAATCTAACATTTGATTTTTATAATTAATGAATAATTATTATCTATGATTTACTTTATTACATTATATTAATTTAGTTTCCTTTAGAATATTTAATAGAATATTTTTTATAAATAAAATTAATGCATTAAATTATTATTTTTTTTTTCATTTTTATTTTTATTCAAAAATGCTCACAATAGATTCAAATCATTTATTGGAAATATCAATATTAGAGGGTGAAAATGAATAATAAAGTCAATTGGAAAATGAAAATTAATAAATTATATAAAGAAAAATTAAGATTAAAATGAATACTAGCATATTAATTAGAAAGATTTAATAAAATTCATAATTATAAGATGATGACAGAATCAAATATTTTGAAATAATAAAAGGTGTGAGTGAAGCTAATGAAAAATATCTTTGTTATGTATAATTAATTTTAATTTAGATATCAATTGAAGAAGAAGCATTGTATAATTATTGGACTAAGAAATTTACTCTTAAAAATAAGGAAAAATCATACTATTACTTTGATCATAATGATTAACAGAATAATAATCAATATTTAAATCTGAATTTCCATTTTACACACTAAATCATACCTTTTCATTATGAATCTAACGAATCAAGGAATAAATTTAATTACTTGAAGTGCAATTCATCCTTTAGGTTAATACTAAGGGAAAATAATAACGATTATTATTAAATTGCAATTCCATTAAAATTCAACATTCCAACAGAGTTTACTAAAAATTTAAATGATAAAATACAATTAGTAAGAAGTTTAGATTAAAAAATTCCATTAAAAATTACTTGGGAATTGAAGGAAGATGGCATCAAAATCTAATTAACAATAGACTTTCCGAGTAATATAGGTATTTTTGAAATAACCGCAGCTTTATACTCAAGAATAGTTATTAAAGAAAGCGCTGATAAAAGTGATAATTTTTAATTTGCTGCTTAGGCTCATAAGCAACTATCTAAAGTATAAGGAGAAATAAATTCTTAATAAAAGTTGATTTTAGATTTGTAATTTAATAAGGGAAGTTTTCCACCTCTATATTTTGGATAAAGGATTTAATCACATCACATTGTGATATTAACTATAAACTTTAAGATTTAAAATATATAAGATCTTTTTAAGAAAAATAAATTTTAAATTGAAATTCCTGTAGATTTATATCCTAATGGGCAAATAAATGAGAATTAATATGAAAATAGAATAGAGAAAAATTATGATACAACTAGAATTTATAATCAATATTTTGATTCAATCAGATTGCTAAATAAACCATAAAAAGATTACTCAACATACATATGAGGAAAAGAAATTGATGTGTTTTTTATAAGATATATTCAAAACTTTTAATTTAAAAATTAAATCAATTAAAATTACATTATTAATGATATTTATAAAGTATTTTATTTTTATTGGATTATATTCTTTATATATTATAAGGTTATAGAAGAAATACAATATGTTTTTAGGTTACAATATTTTTGAATAGATTTAAAGAAATTAAGGATATGATAGAATAATCCATTAATCTTATTTTAGATTTCTTGTATTGATTAAAGAAATCTCTATTGTATATTCAATTAAATGATAATATATTTGATGCATAAACTTCAAAGAAAAGATTTTTGGAATCTTCTTAATTAATGATTATTTATTAAATAATTATAGATTAGTTATAAAGTATGGGTTCTTAGTGTAACAATTGTAAATGTGAAAAAGAGAAAGATAAAGATATTGAGAAAACAGTAATAAAAGACATCTCATTATATATTAGCATATTTAAGTAGCTAAAAAATATGAAGGATAATGGTTCAATGATAAATAAAATGGATATGGTTCAGAAGTGTGGCCAGATGGATTATCCTTTCAAGGATTCTTTTAAAACAGTTTTAAACATGGAAAAGGTAAATTTATATATTATATTTCTTACATTATTATTATCAATTTAACACAAATATATTAATATCAAATAGAAATAAAAATGGCAAAAGTGTTTATTTTATTAATTAATTTTCTTAAACACTGCTTAAAATTGCCTTTCTTTTTAAGTTATTATTTATAAACGACCATTAAATAAACTAGTAGTTTTGATAGATGGAAACTTGAATAGTAATTATTTATGTGTACATAGGGTAATATATATAAGTGAATTTTATTATAATACCCAAATATATACTTTAAATTTTTTGGAAGATATTTTATCATATTATAAGCTTATACTAAATATATAAAGCAACCCTTTAACAACAAAAATTGTTTTTAGAAACATTCATGAAAAACAATTTTGTTATA